CAGTGATCTTTGTAGTCTTTGCCACTTGGAGTCTTTGTCACTAAGCATTTTCTTTCCTTGTTTGCTTTTGCCTTTTAAAAAATTAATATTAGTACTCAAACAAATAAGAAAAATGTACCAGTACAGCAGGGGAAACACAGGCTAAAGACTTGAACAAGCCATTCTCAAAGACAAAAACTGCTTATCAGCATGTCAAAAAGTAATCAGTCTTATTGGTAGCCAAAGAAATAAAAGTTTGAAAAATGTTATTTTCACCTATCAAGTTAGCAAAGATTTTTAAAGAATGGCATTATGTTGGCATGAACTGGCTGTTCTAAGCATTGAGCCCAAAGGAGAAACTGCAATAGAGATACACACACAAAATTTAAGCATAAGATCAAAATCCAAAGGTAAAAGAATGGCTAAATAAAGACATCCATAAGGTGAATTATTTTTCAGTCACCAAATCACATAAAAAATATCAATTTTAGTTTCTTAAGAAACAGCAACAAAGGAATGTTAACTTTTATTTAGAAGTATGAAGTTCTAAAACAGCCATCCTAACCTTTTTGGCACCAGGGACCAGTTTCGTCGAAGACAATTTTTCCATGGATGGCAGTGGGGTGGAAGAATAGTTTGGAATGAAACTGTTCAACGTCAGCTCATCAGGCATTAGATTCTCATAAGGAGTGCACAACCTCGATTCCTTGTGTGCACAGTTCACAATAGGGGTCACATTTCTATGAGAATCTAATGCCAGCCGCTGATCTGACCAGAGGAGGAGCTCAGGAGGTAATGCTCACTTACCAGCCACTCACCTCCTGATGTGCTGCTGGGTTCCTAACAGGTCATGGGCTGGTACCCATCTATATAGCCCAGGGGTTGGGGACCCCTGTTCTATAATATGACTCTAATTCTTTTTTTTTTTTTTTTCTTTTGAAACAGAGTCTTGCTCTGTCACCCAGGCTGGAGTGCAGAGGTAAGATCTCAGCTCACTGCAACATCCATTTCCCAGGTTCAAGTGATTCTCCTGCCTCAGCCTCCCGAGTAGCTGGGACTATAGACACTTACCACCATGCCTGGCTAATTTTTGTATTTTTAGCATACACAGGATTACACCATGTTGGCCAGGCTGGTTTCAAACTCCTGACCTCAGGTGATCCACCTGCCTCAGTCTCCCAAAGTGCTGGAATTACAGGCGTGAGCCACTGTGCCCAGCCAATTATGATTCAAATTCTTAAGACAAGGGTACATTTATATAAAGGAAATAAACCTGTGGCAAACTATCCGGTGTTTTCAGTAGCAGTTCTTTAGGTATTGAGATAATTATAAGCACTCAGTACATGCCAGGCACCATGTTCAGTACTTCATATATATTGCATTGTATTTATGTTTGCATTCTTCTTTTATCCCTTTTGTATATCTGAGGAAACTGAAGCTCAGAGAGATTAGTAACTTGCCTACAGCAATTAAGTTATTAAAGGGAGGAGCCACAACACAAGCTAAGGCCAGCTTGACTCAAAATTAGTGCTCATCATATCCATATCAGCCCACAGGTAATTTTGTGTAATAGGGATCTAAAATAAGCAAATATTGCTTTTAAAATTGGGAAACAAATCAGTAATATAATTGTATTAAACACATACATATTCTCAAAATGACAATTCTGAAAATTACTTCCTCCGAAGATGTAGGACTATAAACGTGATTTTTAGGAGCGCAACTAGTGTACTTGGTAAACGGCATAAGCGCTAATTTTAAAAATGCAATTCTTATCTTGGAAGACTTTTGTGAGCCAGGTTGACTGTGAAAAATTTATTAATTTAGGAAAAATTATTTTACACCTGCCCTTGCCAGATACTGTATAGTATACTACAGGTGCTGGCATAATGGCAGAAATAATAGTCTAAACAAATTTCTTTGGAAGTTAAAAAAGTCTCTTTTTTTCAGAGATAAGTGTGGATGGGGAGAGACGGAAGGTGGGAGTATCCATCAAACTCACATTGAAAGTCTTGGCTACCTACTTACCTATAGCAAAGGATTTTTTTAAGGTTTTCTATAAAAATGTATTTGTCTGAGCACCCATGATACTCCCTCGGAAATGTCATATAATTTTAAGCCTCCACAATGCATTCACACTTATACTCTATAGCAATCAGGTGAAATAAAATGCTTTTAATATCACATAGCATTATTCTCATCCTATGGGTATATAGCGGTCCTTCGATTTGCCCATCTCCTTAATGCAGTATTTTCAGTGTTAAGTAAGCAGAGTTGGAGAGTATCAGAAACAGGGTTGTCAGCAGAAATGTGGTTGAATGGATTCCCAGCCCTCTTACCATGGTACCTCATCACCCATGCCTATCTTCCTTTTCCAAGAAAGCCCGTATTTCAGCAAATGGACTTCTGACACAAAGGCGATTATCTCTACACCTTTAGATTAACAAGTAAATTCTTTCTTAGACTTTACTCTGTAAGTCAACCAGAATTTTTATCAATTCAGATTTAAAATTTTCACTTTTGCTTGGCTGTTACAAAAAGATAAAATGGGTAAGAATATGTTTCTCCTTTTCTTCAAAGACGCTGGCCCTCATGGTAGGAAAGGTTAAGGAAGTTTTATTATTATTATTATGCAAAAGTATAAAAAGTTCATAGGAATGATAATGAAGTTAGACCTTAAACATGATGAGTTCAAATAAACTAGAACCTCAGAGGAAGATCCCTACAACCAAAGAGATGCCTATTTGAGAAGGAAATGCTGTTTGCCTTAGAATGAACAGGTCAGTAAATTAACCCTCCTTGTTAATTCCCTTCCATGGGGACTAAACGCCAAGGAGTAGTTGAGGAACTAGAGTAAAAAGGGTTGAAACCAATCAGCATAACAGGCACCTTATGTTGTTTGTTCTGTAAATTAGATGGTTTCCTAATCTTTCAGACTACAGTTTCAGGAGGAAGGATGGGTGCCCATGGCTCTGAGATCAGGTGTCATTGCCATGGAGATTTATCTTATTTAATAAAGAATACCACCCAATCTTCTTCTAATAACAAACACTTGTTTTTTAGTTGCCAAAAACTAAAGAAACTACTTTCCCATGGTCGCTCTAAGTGTAGGTTTCAAAAGATTATAAAAACAAGTCAATAAATTCAGTCTCCCATGAGTGTGCTCATTACTGTTTTAGTTCACGTTAACAGAATTAATGGCTTAACAATAGTAACAACTGGAGGAGGGCAAACCTCTCATTCATTTGTATTAAATCACCTTTTCATTAGATAGGAGTGCTATAATGTATATTTCTCGGAAAATACTTTCAATACAAAAGACTTTAGAAATAAGTACAATATACTTTAAATGTTTCACAGTTTGCACATTATATCGTACATACAGCGTCTAGCAGCTATGAACCGAGGAGGAAAACATTATTTTCCACTGCACTAATAAAAATCAATTCTCACGTCTTCAATTAAATGATTTTCAGAAGGGTTCATCACCCGGAAAACCAGTTGGTATAAACGCCGGAAATGCAGATGGCACCCAGCCTCAGAACTGCTTATTCTACATGGGAACCAAACTAAGATTTCTCTTTATTATTTGGGAAAGCCATCCCACCCTGGAGAGAATCTCGCTGTAAAACAATTTAAGAAAAGAAAGAAAGAAGGAAACAACTCTGAAGCGTGTGAAGTTCTCCAGACAAATCTTACAGTGACTCTTTTAAGGAGATATGCTTGTATGGAAAGGTCAGGGGAGGTCAGCAGAGTTCTGCCAGGAGCCAGGGTCAGTCGTCCCCGGGGGACAGGGGTTCTCCCAGGTGAGCCAGCGTCCCGGGCTCGGCGCGGGGCGCAGGGCGGGTCCCGAACGCAGGGCGGGCGCGCGGGCATCTTTGTGCCCAGGCGACACGGGCTTGTTCTCCCCGGAGCCCAGGGACTCCCGAGGCTGGCGCGGGCTGCCCCGGACGCGACGCCAGCAGCCTCCGGCTCGCGAGGAGCAGCTCCCATCCGCGGCTTCCGAGGCCAGCTCCGTCCCCAACCATCCTCGAGTCCTCCGGCATTTTTCAGGGAGGCAGAGAGGCAGGGAGAAGAGGAGAAAGCGGCCGCGTCTGCACCCAGCCTCTGCCGCAGCACTCGAAGAGGGAGAGCAGGGAGGCTGGCGGGGAGGCAGCGATGAAACTGATTCCATAGGTCACGGAAAGATCATCATCACCTACAGCAAGGGAGGCTCTGATGCGCCCACCCGGGCAGCGGCTCGCGTTTGGTGGGCGTTCCTCCTCCTCGCCCCCTCGGTGGCCGTGAAATCCACCCCTCGCCGCACACGCCAGGACTCCCTTTCCTTTCACTAAGGGGAGGGGAAGGAACAAAAGAGACCCCCACCCCCTACATACACACACACACACACACACACCACACACACCCCTCCGGTATTTCGCCGCTGCTCAAAGGCTTCATTTTTGCAACCTCTACCGCGAACACCTTCCCCACCTGAGCCGTGCATTTCCCAAAGGTGAAGAGAGACGAGGGAGGAGACACAGCAGCCGAGGTGATCGGTGCATTGGACACTGTTGATTGCACGTTCCCCTCGCTCCCAGCCGACCGCACAGAACCCGCAGCCCCTCGCGCCCCTGCGGGGTCTCCGCGCCCACAGCCCGGCCCTCCCGGCCGCCCCCCGCAGGCGCCCGGCTCTCCGCGGGAACTCCGGTACCCGGCCGAGCGTTCGTCCGCCGGCGGGCAGGACACTCGCCCGGTTCCCCGCAGCAGCTGAAGGCGGCGAGCGGACCGCGTCCAGGCAGCGACGCGGGATTCAACTTCCCGGACCCGCGGCGCGGCCCCCGCTCCCGCCCAGGGGGCCGCGACCTCCGCCGAGACCCCCGCGCCCCGCAGCCGCCCCCGCCCGGGCACGGGCTGTCGCGCTCTCCGCCCCCTCCTTCCTTCACCTCCCCCCCACCTTGAAAAAAATCCATCCATTGGTGCAAAGCAGACATTTTGATGTCATTTACTTAGCACCGCTCGGTTTGGAGGCAGCGTCTTACCCGGTCGCCTGGAGGTGTGGGCAGCGCGCCGATGGGTCCGGGGGAGCGGGGCTGGGCGGCTCGGTCCTCTAGCGGAGCCGGTTTGCTGCCATCCGCCCAACTTCAGCACCCAGCGGGCGAGGAGAGAGCGAGAGCGGCGAGGATGCAGGGGAGGGGGAGGGGGAGGAAGGAGGGGTGGGCGGGGAGGGAGCGAGGGCCGCTCGGCAGCGCGCATGCGCCCCGCGGGCCGGCGCAGCCCCTCGCCCCGCGCGGCCGGAGGGGCCGCTTCTCAGCCCCGGCGCGCGGCCGCGAGCGTCCCGGCCCCGCCCCCTCCGCGGGCGGCCCCCGGCCCCGCCCCGCCCCGCGCGCTCGTCTGGGCGCGGCGCCCACAGTGCTGAGGGGCTCGGCCGGGACTGTCTGCTTCGGCGACGCCAGTCCGGAGCGTCGTGGGAGCCCCGGAGCTCCGAGAGCTTCCCTGGGTGACAGCGGCCCTCCGCCCCGGCCCCTGCAACTCCACTCGCCCGCAGCCCGCGCGCTGCTGTCCTGGGCTGCACGGAAGACCCAGGAGCCGGTCTGTGAGGCGCAGCAGCCTGCCTGCCGCGGGTCCCGAAGGAAGCAGTCCCTGCGCGGGGGTTCAGGAAAGTGTGAAGTTAAGCAAGTTTTGCTTCCCGAAGGACTTTATGAACCGTCCTTTACTTTATTGATTTCTTCACCCAGAAAGAAGACCTTTCTCCTAAGAATCAGTGCAGGTGCCTTCTGACCTGGCCCATGCCAGCTGCCTCAGGCACCGGACCACTCGCGGGAGCAGAGTTTTGAGTGGGGAGAAGCCGATGACAAGGCAAGAGTGGTGAATTATTAACGGAGGTGCTGATGCTTGGGGCCTAGAGCATCCTTAGGGGACAGCTTGGTATTTATCAGGTCTGATAATCGTTCTGTGCCCCAGTGGAGCCCAGCCTGATAGGGAGGGAGCTTGGGATACTTAATGCAACCCGAGCGCTAGATTGCATCTCCCGTGATTAGACTGAAGTGTTTGTGCGGAGGAAGTGGAGAAGCAGGGTCTTGCTCTTCAGATACCACATCTGGGGGAAGAGGAGTGAGTTCCTGCAGGAGTGAATGGGCTTTTTTTCTTACACCTAATTAAAACGGATTACTTGTAAATATATGTGTTTTCCCCTTGCTTGTGTGTTCATGTAGGCAGGCATTGTGTTATTTCAGCCTGAACTCTCCTGTGCCTCCACCCTCAGACACTCACCGGTACTTGAGTTAAATGTGTCTCAGGACCTCCTCCAGGGCCTCCTATGGCTTTGAGTACTAGCGTTCTTCAAAGTGTCTTCATTTTGGTTGGATTTTACAAAAGTATTTGCCTTCGTCTTTTCAGGCCAATATAACAAAATACGGTAGACTAGATGGCTTATAAACAAAAGAAACTGGTTTCTCGTGGTTCTGGAGACTGGGAAGTCCAAGATCAAGATGTAGGCAGATTCCTTATTTGGTGAGGGCCCAATGCCCAGCTCATGGACTGCGGACTCCTTGCTGTGTCTTAGTGTGGTGGAAGTGAGCAAGGAATCTCTCTGGGGTCACTTTTATAAGGACACTAGTCCCATTCATGAGGGCCCCACCCTCATGACCTGACCACCTTCCAAAGGTTCCACCTTTTTATAGCATCACCTTGGGGGTTAGAATGTGAACCTATGAATTTTTGAGAGACAAACACATCCAGTATTGGTCTGCAGTGGATAAAGTTAAAAGTTCTTCACCAAAAATGGTTTGAGCAGCATTGAATCCTATATAACTTTCTGATTTAGATCTTTAGTCCTGACCTCTCACAGAACTCTTTTATGTCCTCAACTACCTGTACATCTCCACTTGAGGAATAATTGTCAAAGCTGATATTTATTGAACAATTACTACATGTTAGATACAGATCTAAATTCTCCTCATATTTCTTATTCGTTGTTCACAACAGCGCTGCAAGGTAGATACTATTATCATGGTTAACACACATCTCAAAAGCAGAACTCCAGATATCCACTCCCTACAAACCTGTTCCTCCTCAAATTGTTCTACTCATGTTCAGTCCAAAAATTTAGAAGTTTTGGTGCTTTCTTTCATCCCCACACTCTATTAATTAGTCATGTTTTCTTCACCTCCAAAATACATTCCCAAGTCATCTAGTTTGCTTCCTTTCTATTGCTGTAACCTTAGTCCAAGCTGTTGTCATCTCTCACCTGGGCGAACACAAAAGCCTCCTATTCTATCTGCTCATATCTGTCTTCCACAACCACAAACAACACCCTCCCAAGAACTGAGCGATCTTTTAAAAATAATCAGATTATGTCACGCCCTTTTTAAAAAAAACTCTCAAATGAGTTTTTTCATTGCACTTCAGATACAGTTTGTAATTCTTACCACAGCCTAGAAGGTTCTATATACTATTGCCCCTGCCTAGTTATCTTATACTATGCTCCCATAGACCATGGCTATGTGTGTTTTAGCCATGTAGACCTGCTTCTTTAGGTTTCTTGAAGAAATCTAGCTTGTAGTATTTGCTATTCTTTCTGCTGGGAATCTGCTGCACCAGATCTTTGCATAGTAGACTCCTTAACATCACATAGATGTCTGCAGAAATATCACCACCTCAAAAGGTTTCATCTGACCATCCAATCTAATCTGCCCAGTGAGTTCTTTGAATCCCCTTATCTCATTGTATTTAAAATACTTCACTCTCTGAATCAGTTTGGATTCATTTGTTTGCTTATTCATTCTCCCCAGCTCCTGCTAAAATAAAGAATCTCAAGAGTTTTGCCTTCACTTTTCAGTGTTTTATCTCTAGTGCCCACAGCAATATTTGGCACATAGTATATACTCAGTAAATAGTGAATGGAGGATGGATTGAATAAATAACAAACTTAGAAAAAGTGCTCTTTATTTTTTGCTGATGCTTCTTCTTGAATCCTAATTGCTGCCTTTCAGAATCTGTTGCTTTACAGAGGTGAACAGATAGACCACATTGTTTCCTCTGCCCAACCTATCACAGAAGGTTCCATGATAGACTACACTGTTACCTCTGCCTAGCTCATCACACATGGCTCCATGCAGGGGTGCTCATTTAAACTAGATGCCAGAGTAAGGTTCCCAGAATCCACTTTTGAAACAAGCATACTCTATAAAAAAGAGACCCTTATTTCCATAAATTTTCATCATGGCTCTTTGGGCAATTTCTGTATGACAACCTGGCAATTCTGCCATTCAATTAATTGCTTACGCCAAATGTAACCCATTGGTGACTTTGTTTCACAGTTGTAGTTTTTTTGTGTAATCCCTTCTGCATGAGCCAGAATCTGTGATAATAGTATTCTAGGACTGAATATGTTGCCTGCCATCTGCAAGTTAACTAGATGGGTGGAAAGAACCATAGCTTTCACGACATTCATCTTGTGGAGTTGGATCACTTGCAGTCTCTGTGTATATCTTGGTGATGTGGTTTGAGTTTGTCTCCTCCAAAACCCACATTGAAATTTGTTCCCCACCTTGGTGGTGTTGGAAGGTGGGGCCTAGCAGGAGGTGTTTGGGTTGTGAGGGTGGATCCCTCATGAACGGTTTGGTGCAGTTCTCCAGGTAGTGAGGGAAATCTCACTCGGAGGACACTGGAAAAATTCTCATGGGAATAAACAAATTCCCTAGACGGTAGATTCTTACAAAACCAGGATGTTCCTCGGGCCTTGTCTCTTTGTATATGTCCACTTCCACTTTGACCTTCTTTGCCTTGTTGTGATGCAGCATAAAAGCCCTCAGTGGAAGGCAGGGCCATGCCCTTGAATTTCCCAGCCTGTGTAACTGTGAGCTAAATAAACCTGTTTCCTTTATATACTGAATCTCAGGTATTCTGTTATAGCAACATGAAACAGACTAGAATACTTGGTCTAGGGAGATACCTGCAACCCCACTGACATCAAATGATGACCAATAAATCGATTCAGTAAACGTCATTAATATCTACTGTATGTGTGGCATGATATCTTCAAATATTTTTGGAAAAAACGTAAATGTTATATAAAATTATCCTATAGGACTCAGAAATGGATTTCAGTTCATTTTGGCAATGGGGATGCCTTCTCTTTATATAGAATTTTAGAGCTCACTGGGCCAGTCATCATTAAACAGCTCTGTGGTAATTATGAAAAAGAGCATTTGATCATAAGCATTTTCTTACCATAATGAATGTGTTTTTTTTCAAGTACAGAAATACTGGACACAGCAGCAGTTTAGGTATAATGGCTTTATAGTAAGGCAAAAAGGAAATTTGGAGACAAGTCATTTGTAGACAGAAAATATTGCAAAAGGACAGACTATCAACATCAAAATATTTAGTTTACATTTATTCATAATTAGAAATATTTGTCATCATTAGGAGATCTGGAAATTACCTCAGTGAGTTTGGTACCCTACAAAAGTATTTCCAGGAAGAAACTATGTAGCATTTTAAAATTTCATTCTTTTCCCACATGCTTGTTAATTTAAAATAAGCTGTTTTTCCTTTGAAAAGCAGAGGGAAAGGAAATAAATTGTTTGCTTGAATCTAGGAAACCCTGGCTGCTCCAGCTAGGCAAACTCTCCAGAGTGAAATGTGGAGGCATAATTAGAACACGACTGCTTCAGCGTACTTTTTCTATACTTTAACAGGGCTAATCATGTTTTTCCAATTGATTTTAATCAAACCATTGAGACAGGTTCATCCCAGGGAACTTATTTAAATGGAAAATGCTTGTGTTTCTTCATCAGTATTTAAAGGAGAGAGAGGAAAAAGAAAAAGGAAAGCTAGCCTGTTCCCCAAAAGCTATAAAATGAAATGCAGAATTTCGTATTTTCTATGTACTTAATTTTGAATGAATCGTTAGCTATTAATGTTCCTTTTATTGTTTAACTTACCAGCTTTGAATTTAAAAGTCTTCCTATTACTCTTGCAGAATAGTGTTAGTGAATTTATATCTCAAGGTAATTAGGTGAGTCCCTAGAAGTAGATATAAACATCTTTATGGGAATTTAAAAATTACTTATGCCCAGTTTTCTATATCATATATTTCCACAATGGCTTCACAATGTAGAGTTGGTTTTGGGTCACCCTGAATACTTTATAAAAGTATTCTTTAGATGGACCCTGCATATTCACATTCAACAAACCTGTCA